CTTTGCCGGTGACATGACTGCCGTGCCGCTTTGAGCAGTGATATGTGTTGACCGATCGTCCAAAGTAAATTTAACGAGACTTGGCAGCGGCGGATTCTGACGGCTTAGGTGTTTAATTAACACGTATTCGAAAAGTCGGAGGACAAAGGCTTTCGGTAGCTCTGAATTTCATATTCATCTAACGTGTGAATAAAATAGTATGAATGGACATATAGTGCAGGTGCGCTACCGCCTACGGCGCAAAGAAAATCGGTGCTGTTTCGCAGCTGGGAGCATTTCACGAAGCAGCTCCACACTGAAATTAAATAGGAATGCCATTACGGTTATACAGATCACACTCAAGTATATGCATACCCATAGATCATATCAATTATGATCACAACTTCAGCGAGCTGCAAATCATAGGAAGCATTTTCTGCAGATCATCACAAAACAAATTGCAACACTTACGGCGTAATAATACATTACATACACATAAAGCCTTGTGCCTTCTCGCAGTGCAAAAGAGAAAGTAGGTAATGGCCGTTTTCACGACGGAATAGCAGGCATCTATTTGATACCAATTTAATCCTTTGGTTCCTCAGGAATTTTAGTAGTTCTTTTTAGTAGGTTTACCAGCTTTCGAATGAATGGCGCGTTAGTTTGCTATTTTTCTATTAAATATCACATCGATTTACTTTATCTAAGGATTTATCACTAACATCAACATAAAGCGTAAGCACAATTATAAAATTATGAAATTATTAAATACTAGTACAATAGTTAAAAAAAGATACTGAGTTGCCACACTACAAAAGATATATTCATTTATGGCGCACGACAGACATTTAGAAAGCAGCGCCCTGTTTTATTGCACGCTGCTAGCCGCTTCCATTGGGTTTTGCAGGCCGACGTCATTGGTTGTTACACGTATGATGTCACGCGACTTGTGGCCTATCACGGCTCTTTAATGATCTCCACTAAATGAATGCAACAATGGCCTTTTAAGTTGATATCTGTGGCCATCTGTCTATGGAGCGACCAATACGAAAGTTAGATGAATTTACCGGGGTTACATGACTATGAGCAAGCAAATGTGTATCAGGAATGGATTCAGGTGGAGAATTGCGCTGGACCATGAGTGCTCGAGCGCTCCCAATTCCACGCCGGTTTGGCTTTGGAGCCGAGACAGACGATGCGGGTCAAGGTCACCGCTGGGGTAACGCTGGATTGGCTGCGCCCGAGCACCCGTAACGCGGCACAATTCTCCATCTATAGATTTTCCTATTCGCTCAGCATTGTGATACCTAGGTGTTCGTAATAGCAATTACTCTGCTTATGTACTTATCCCCGGTTATTTAAAAGAAGTTTTTGTGAGGGGATATCACGGCTATAGGTAGGTACTCAGTTGCCCTATTCACGACTTTCAAAGAATGCTCCGATATCTAAATACCGCACAGACCTACTGCATTGGTGAATCTGACAAAAGGTCTGTGGAATTACATTCCCCCTCACCACACCCCTAAAAACTCATCTAGTGTCCAAAACCACTTTTATCGACTCGCCAAAAAAAAAAACACACACACACACACACACACACACAAAGCATGGGGCATGTCAGCTCTCAGTTCATTTATCATTGTCTTTACCATGGTTCAATTGCATTGCGCGATTCAAAGCACGTGAGTGCCTATATAGTATATATGTAGAAACTAATACCTACAGCAAAACATCAAAAATTACAAAGGCTACAATGCTTAAAAAGTAGGTTCATCAAGGAAGCCCATTTTAGCTTGCGTGGTGTTGCCAACCATGCGATTCCAACGCGGGCTATTCACAACGTCTGCAAAGGCACGTTAACAACTGACAAGCCGCCACCGCTGCCACTTATTCATAGATGGTTGATATCGCAGCTTGAGCGTCAGCAGCGCGGCCCACAACGCGTCGGCGCCAGCGCACGCAGCTGTTGGCACTCGGCAGCCGGTGTTGCGACTTAACGGCCGGCCGGCCCCATGAAGGAGAAGCTCTTGCTGAAGCTTTGTGATCGCCTCATAGCCGCCTTGGATGTCATCTTTCTTGGCAGATCCATCCGTTCAGATGGTACGGTGCAGTCTGGATAAAGGACGAAGTCCAACGCCGCTAACCCCGCGACCGCCACCCCAGAACGTGGCCGCAGACCGAACGGGCGTGAGGGCCGTAAGGGCCACCCCGCCATCCGGTAGGTGGCTGAGCAGCCGGGCGTAGCGGCGCCTGGGCGGCGGCCGCGCTGAGATGAAGTCCCAAACCGCCATGTCGCCATCACCGCCATCACCATTGCTGCAGCTGTTCCCAACCGCCTCCATTGCCGCCGTTGTCAGGTATTGCCAGCAACCGCGCCGCGGGATGTCAGAAGCCGCGCCTCCAGCGCCCCTCTCCGCACGTGTGCAGGTGCTCTGCGGCCGCCGGGTCCGACGTCCAGGCAGAACATGATATTTCCATGCTGCTCCGACGGTGGGCTGGTCTTGTTTGGGTGTTCCTCCACTGTGACGTCGGTCACGCCTACCCCGGCCAGGGCGCAGAGGCCGACGTCTCACCATCCGGTTGCGGTCCTCAGTCGGGTCGCAACGTGTACCTCTACCGCAGCGTGGAGCGCGCTCCCGCTGGGCAGCGATACAGCCAAACGTAACATGCGGGCGGCCAGCGCTGCGCCGGACAGCGGACCCATGCAGGGGGTATGCCGGTCTCGGCCATTAGCGGGGTCGTCGGGGCCGAGGCTGTACATACAGCTGGTGACCGCGTGAGCCGCCAATCGAAGCTCACGGCTTATAAGCTCGACGCGGGCATCACACGTTGTCCCGATGGGAGCTCCACGACGCCGCCGCGAACTCCAGCAGCGCGGCTCGCAGCGCGAAGACCGGTACGGACGGCCGGGGCGCAAACGGCGTGCGGGAGTCGCAGGCGACGGAAGACGTTCTGCGGACAGAAAGGGTTGGGCATAAGCTGGTCGGCAGGACACTCTTGAGCCGAGCCTTTGATGTAATTACAGATGATCCAGAAGCATGCACAAAAATTCATGACACACTATTCCCATTTATGTATTTGCTACATATGATATGATATACCAGCTCATGATCAGTGACGCATTCTGGGCAATATGTTCTAAAGTGAAGTAACTGAAGTTACAATTGACAGCTTAAAGAAACACACACACGCACACACATTCGATAGCTTATGAGAATAACATGCCTTGTCTGTTTAATGCAGGAAAATATTTTTCACTTTTTTAGAAACAGCAAAACCGTTGTCAACATGCCATGTCAACTATCTAAACAATTTTTATGGAAACTGCTCTAGCTGGCTTAAACAACGTTTCCGGAGCACTGTACCCAAACTCAGTTCATGTTGCAAGAAAAAACAGCAAAAATGCCTCCTAATTTTGAATGAAATATAGGTATGAGTAATTTGATTTGGAAATTGGAAAGCAACAAATTTCCGCACATCATTTTAGCAAAATTACTATTTTCTTCAGCCACCAGGTTTTGCACAAAACTATAGTAAACTTTATGATCTAGTTTACATTAAACCAAAGCCCCTTTTAACAAATGTTGAATAAATTTTAACAAATTAAAAAAATGTATCGTGGAAAAAATGAAAAGTGTAGATTTGTAAAGCCGGGATATTTCACGGATTAGGCACTTAAACAAATATCTTCACCTTTCTTTGAGCCACCAGCCTTCACCAAGTTTTACACGAATGTAGTGAACCAGACAATGTGGCAACTCAAAATTGTGATGGTTTGAGATAATTATAACGGTAAAAGAAAAAGCAACACAAGGTTCCTTACCCTCGCTTTTTTCACTAGTCCAGATGAGGCTTCAACTGTTGCCGACCTGAGGAGCTATAGGGACTTGAGCTTTCCAAAACTCAATTTCTAAGGGCACTGAGCAGTGTTTGGGTTTCACACGTATGCGATCGTAAGTTATATTAAGTTGACAAAGCAAGCAAAGCAAAGCATGATGCCCCGCGCGTCCACCCGCGACCACGTCCCGCGTCCGACTCCCGACCGCCGCGTGACCCGAGGCTCCCGGCGGTCACGTGACCTACCGGCCGGGACTGCAAACGGCCTTCAACACCATTCTTGTATGACGTCATATCCTACTGAGGTGCTGATTGGTTATTTCCACCGTAGTTATTTTTGTTTCATTGTTTTGCGTGTTTTTCTTATGTGAAATGTAATTAAAAAATTTGCCATATTTTAATCACCATTAAAACATAACTGAATAGGTATAAAAGAGAACTCGATAAATACTTTCATTGTTTTTAAGAATTCCGGAATTAGATACCCGAGGGAGCAAAGAGGGAGCAAGTTGCCACGCTGATTTGATACCTCATAGTCGAAAGGTGGGCTACTAGAACCGAAAATTGCTGTGTTTGTAAATAAATAAGTTATTTGAGGGCAAAGAATGCCCGGATTTAAACTTCTAAAATTATTTTGAACATAAAATATTTCAGTTTGAGGGATGTTAAGGCCTTAAAGAGTAGGTACTTTTCAGGTATCAAATAAGTTCCTCTGCGAAAGTTCCGTCGTGAAAACGGCTAATGAGTCGATTCTATAAGTCATCGCCAATCAGATAATCTCCGAGTATTTTTCGAATGATGCCATCTGTCCGAGAATAACCAAGCAATGCACATTCGTGGTGCGTCATGTAACAAAGAGAAGGTACACAAATTCCGAGTATATGACATCACATAGTGTAGATGATTTAACCTGTAATCCGCAGTCGATGGCTCGTTGCCTAGCATTGAGGCTGGAGCCTTGTTTTACAACATGCACCCCAAGAATAGACAGAACTCTTCTTACGGTAGATAGAAGACCGTCACTGCTCAAACAATGAATCAGCACTCCCACTTTGATATACAAAGGAAAGATAAAAAGAAACTTCGTCGATAGGTTGTCAATAAACGGGTCCTTAAAAATGTTAATGAACAATTGTGATGTCAGGTTATACAGTTTCCGGCACCTGACAGCCTTTGAAACTTACCCGTGACGTCGCGTCCTTAGTTTATCAATAAATATGCTTCAGATATCGCAAGTCTCAGGTCACAACTATCTTGAAATCAACCTTCCGGAGATGCAATGACACAAAAATATAGAAATACAAGTCTCCCCAACTATTTTCACACCCGGCCCGGGCGACGCGGCCCCGCGGCCGCCCGCCGAGCCCCCGACTACCATTCTGACCGCTCCCCCCTCCGGTGGTGAGGGAGGGGGTCACGAGGACAACCCCCGGCTACAGATCGATGGTGAACGATACCAACATTCCGCTGACACCGAGTCGGCGGCATTACCGCGAGTAATGCGCTCAGTCGAGAACCCTGGAGGTGCTCGAAATGGAGCCCTGGAGGTGCTCGAAACGGAACACTGACCTTTTTTATGGCACGGCGTATTGACAGCCGCGAGCGTTGCTCCTGTACTGAACGTTTTAAAGACGGGCGTGAATGGTGCCTGTACTGTACCTACCTATTGCCAGACAATGGAACAAACCACCATAGTCATGCATTGATAATGGTATGCACCGACGTGATAGCCTGTAAGCCAGAAGGCAATCATACTGTGATTGTGATGAAATGTTTTCACAAGAAATCGATACCAGCGGCAAAGCACCATTCAACACGGTGTCAATCCGCAATGCTGTTGAGGACTGTGCTTTATTCTATGTGAAATCTTCGGTCACATAGGTATACAATGCATATTCCACGCGAATGTGAGCGTTCGAGTCACCTGGTCATCAAAGGTCAATGTGTTTTCTTACCTGACTTTGTCTGAAAACAAAACAAAACAAAAATATAGAGGAAGATCCAGTCCCTCAATATCATTTGTTTTCAATTAACTGTGGGTCCGCGACTGTATGGCTTCTTGGCACAAATCGACATCCGCATAGCATAGCTTGCTATACGAGCTCCATTCGCCCGTCAAGGTCAACTTCCCGTATGTGACGGATGATTAATCAATCAATACGTGCGTCAGTATACGCCGCCGCGGACCTACTTAGCTGTTCCATAAAAACTTGTCCGCCTAGCAAGGTGACCGAACAATAGGGGAGGGCAGGAATGCAGTAACGGAACTGGCAAGCTAAAGAATAGACGAGCGCATTGGCATGCGTGGTACTTAACGCGCTGTACCAATAATGTTTTATTTTATCCTCTGGTACACATGGGGGTTTGTGATGTCATGCATAGACTTCTTTATGTCTTTAGTGATGGTGAAACGAATACGACACGCACGTGTTTCCGTGGACACTCGTGGTCCAGATAGTCAAATTTTACCCCAATTTCCTTTTCTCGTGGACGGTGCTGAATGCTGATAGGTATAACAGGACACAAAAAGGTGCAAGGAAAAGATGTGAGGAGAAAGAAAGAGAGAGAGAGAGAGAGAGAGAGAGAGAGAGAGAGAGAGAGAGAGAGAGAGAGAGAGAGAGAGAGAGAGAGAGAGGCGCAAACGCTTCCAAGGGCAGTAAATAACTATCTAAAAACGCTGTCTCAACCACGCAGCACATAGTTCGAATCCCAGCGCGCACGTGACATCCTCAACCCTCACGTCGCTTTAATCCCACCTCCTCCCCCCACACTCTCCATCCCTCCCGTCCCCCTCCCCCATCACCCTCCCACTGCGTCTCATCACTCTGGCAGCTCAGAGAGGCCTTCACTTGATCCCTGACAGTGTCCGCGTGTTGGTCTCGTGCGGATACCTGCGGCCCTCGCTGCTTTGAAGGATGGCTACTTTCAGTGTCTGGGTTGGATTGGCGATATTGGTGGTGGCGGTATGTGGACAGCAAGGTAAGAACTGGAACAGGTAAGAAGACGCTTGGGGAAGAAGGTTAACGATTTAGGTATCATTAAAAAAGATTTAGGTTTCACGCACAGCAGTCACATAATGCTCGCCTTGCAGTTAACGTTTATAATGAATGCTTACTGCTTAGGTACTGATGTTTGTGCACTTTCAGTGTTCGCTAACATGGTATTCGGCTTTAGGTTTCTCTCAGAACCAGCCATCTGCATATAGCTGCACGGTATAAAAGATAACCTAAACATGACATTACCAGAGCCGTGTGTGATGTATGCTTTAAGGTCACCCCATACTGGACCTCGCATGCGGTTTGCGAGTCTGCGGGTTTTGGAATCGCGGGTATAATGGGTACTGATTCATGGAGTGATTATAGGTAAACCATTCTCTCATGGTCACTACATGAATGCAGTGAAGCCGGCACACAATAAGAAAATTGCATATTATCGCAATAACAGCACAACGAACCAGAATTGGACTTCAAGAAAACACCAAAACTCGCAACCCTCGAAGCGAGGAAAATCGAAAGCTGACTCAAAATCAACTTTTGGAATGCGATGAAAGGTGGCTCGCATGCTAAAAGCATGCAGACTCGCTTGTTACATGGTGCTGTGGGTCACTAAACATAAAGTGTACATATTCTTTAATTTGGAAGAAACCCGAAAACCCAAAAACCTGCAACCCGCATGCGAGGTCCAGTGTGGGGTGCCACAATTTAACCGCAGAAATCGATCATTTGGGTTAAGTTCTTCGTGCAAACGTTCTCCGATTGGAGAAGCTGATGTGGTAAATTCAGAGCTTGTAAGCTTTGATAAGAAAGTGCATCAACGAAGATATAAGATAGCGATACGAATTACGAGTGCATGGATTCAATCGAACAAAATCCTCCTCCAGTCAAAGCATCGTCGTGACCTGCGCGAAGGCGCGACCATGCTTCAGCCGGCCTCGCATACCATTCGTGCAAGGACGTCAACTTTTCCCCGCCCCAGCTTAAGCCTGCTTTCGAAACCCGTGGCGGTCACTACAAGTCCATTAGCAACTTGGTTGAATGCTTGGGAGGCAGAAGAGGTCAAGTGGTTGAGGTTTGTTCGTCTGTTTTTCCATTTGAGGATTAGCGTTTATTCGGGACTAGCGATGCCGCCAACTCTGCAGACTGCTATTAGTGCTACCTGCGGGAACGGGGTTGTTTTTAGATTTACCAGTATGCTTAATGCGTCATGCGATTTAGTTGACAAAAAGGCATCAGCAGAAAGATTCGAACTAAGGCGGCTAAAATAATGCGTAATATGCTTATACACAGGGGAGGTATCTCAGTGTCACGTAAGAGAAGAGAGACATTTATCAAATTGCTCTCCTCTTCTTATCAGCTTACCAGTCACGGTATTCTTACTTCATTTTGGCAAGGTCGCGCCAATGGAATGCTGCAAAGACACGGGGGACTATCGAAACATGGGATTTAAATTCCTGACGCGACCACAGATCATCGCTGTCATGTCAATGCTTGGCTTACTGCGTTGGATGACTGATGAAGCCGCTAAATCTGATATTTCTTCGCTGTGAAACTACACAACCATTTTCATTCATAGAATGACGATAATACCAACAAGGCACAGATAGGAAATGTTGGCAGTTCGTTCCGCTTTACCCTCAGAACATCATGCAAAATTTTGACTCGTTATCGCTCTTTCTCCTACCACATCTAACTCCCCTATTTTCTCCCCACAGATAACACCATCGTCGAGCCGCTCGACTCGCCCTCGCCGCTCTACCCGGGAGAGGTGGAGATACTGCGCGACACACCCTGTCCCAACGGACTGTATGAAGACACGGACAGACCCGCGGCGACCGACACCAAAATCTGCGTGGAGGCTCGACTCAGTGAGTGGCTTTTTCTAGTTGTTGTCTCCATCGGACTGTTTCTTATTCATCCATTTGAATCGCTTATTATTTGTGCAATGTTTATCGATATCTGCAAGATTTATCTTTTGACTCTGTGTTTACAATTTGCCTGACGACGAACACTTCTGAGCAGGCTGCTCGAAGAGGAAAGTCATGGTGCGTGGAGCATGTCTCGTTCTTAGATCCATTTCCGTGAAGCTGCATATTTGTCCCGTTTTTATTGCAGATTGCAGAATCGGTGTAACGTGGCAGAGTATGTGCAATAACTGCACGTGCAAGGAAGGCAGCGGAAACCTGCCCTCCATTGAGTGCACGCAAGAGGACTGCTTTGGTTACGAACTCCCTGAAGAAGGTAAGGAATGCTATTTTTTCAGTATGATCAAAACATAAAGATGATGCATGAATCGCCTCAAAAAGGTGGTGTTACGCTTACATCGTTCTGTTTGCCATTGGCCTACGAACGCTTAAAACTACCTGCGTTTGTCTAACTTGTAATATCACGTTCTTGCTCATTCCAGACCTGGGAAACAGCAACATATGCGGCGACGTGTACGAATGCCCAGAGGGCTGCGTTTTTGTCCGTCGCACATCCAGCTGCATCTATTGCCGGTGTGGTACCGTGGAACCGGCCAATGAGGAGACGGCGCCAGCTGAGCCGGAAACCCAGTGATGAGGGATCGAATCCAGCAAGATGCGATGTTTTTCTCAGTCCTAGCTTGGACATGCAACCTCTAAGTTTCCATTCGAAATACAATTATATTTGCTTCTTAGTGAAAGCAACGATTATTGAATGATATGATAATGCATTCAATGCATCCGCCGCGGTGAAATGGAAGCATACGTGAAAAATGCTATGACGCTGAAGGCCATGAAATGCCGGGCATCCTCACGTCCAGCTTCGCAAGTAATAAAGCTGTGCTGCGTATGTAATACACTAAATACCATGCTGATTTGTCAGATCACGGTAGCCACGTTTACACATTATAGAGTTCAGTGGTAGTCACTTTCCGAAATTTATTGGTAGGGCTTTTTATTGGCGGTTAATTTTAGGATACCAAAGCCATTCTTACTTTGCGCCGCCATAGGGTCAATGCTTAAATTCTGAGTAGGGCTCGGACCCTGCCAAGCCTATACAAAACGAACCCATGCGTCAGATGTCTCTGGGAACAAAACATTCGCAGATGGCATGAGCTCTCGCGTCATATGTCTAGCCGAAAGGTATATCTAATCAGGTAATAGACGATGTGTTTCACGGGACGATACCACAGGCAGTCTGAAACTATTCAATCGTCACGATATTCTACGAGCTTGCGTTGAAGTCCCGATATTTAGTTTTGAACTGTCATTTTCAGCTACGGTACTAACGAAACTAAGTTCGTTCGTGGTTCGTTTATCCCGTTGACGAAACGCAAAAGAGATAAGGTTCACCATAAAATTTATTTCAACAGCACATTATCATGTTACTCAGGCACGAGTGGAAGGCAAAAATTGTGACGAGACTTAACACTAACCCTCATCTCACAAACAGCTTCACTCGACACAAACAGGCTACAAACGGCGTTAATTTTAAGCAATGCAAATGCACTGCAATTCAAATACAATCCACTTTTGTATCGAGAGTACATGAACCTCCAGGCTCCACGAATCAAATTAAAACAGTTACATTTAAGGCGTACCGGTTTCGTCTATTGACTTCTTCAGCGCCGTAACAAGGACCTTGTTACGGCGCTGAAGAAGTCAATAGACGAAACCGGTACGCCTTAAATGTAACCGTTTTAATTTGATTCGTGGAGCCTGGAGGTTCATGTACTCTCGATACAATACTTGTCCATTTATAACTACAATCCACTTTGTTAGCCCGACGATAGGCAACACTGCGCTCACTCAGCCGGCACTGGCGCCTTGCCGGTTTATGCTTTGTCCGTGGGACTTTGGTGACAGGGCGGCTGACATCAGAGCGGCAACAACTCTAGCATCAGCGGTCAGCCACTGTCCCAGCTCCCGAAGACTGAAGCAGAGGACGTGTCGACTGTCCAAGTCGTCCACTCGAGGTCGAGATGGAGAACGTCTCGACTCTCGAGGCTTGGCTCCCGATCACCGGTGCTCCTCCGCGAACATCAACTGAAACTGAATGGCCACGTGTCACTAAGACATACACTAGCGAACTCAGTCATCGAGCAGGACGAAATGATCAGACTCTGGAGCACTTTTCGCCGCACCCGCGTCTCACCGACAGGACTAGTACTTTTGACTAGAGACTATATCACAGATTATATCACGTTTACGTTCCATGTAATGACTGACTGGCTCTGTCGGAGGGACCGCTGTCTGGCAGCTGGTCGGATAGCAAGATCGGAGAGGCCGGGCAGGTGGCCAGCCCGACTGGTGGCGGTACAGACGGTGAAACGGTGCCGGGGGCGGGACGGGCGCACAGCCGACGGACGGAGCGGGACAGGGCCGGGGACCGGGCGGGAGAGGGGTAATTGGGACAACGGGACACACAGAGGGGGAGGCGGAACTGTGGCCCGCCACCGCCCCGCGGCGCTACTACCCGCCACCAGTCGCAAGGAGATGACTGTATCGAATCGCACTCATTCCACAGGCATTCTAAGATTTGACCACGCACTCGAAACAATGAACAACAAACATTCCGGAGGACAACTCTCACACTATCACGACTATTGAACCGGTCATCCACGACCCGCTAGGGGCACGTGACAGATGTACTATGGCAACAGGTGAATTTCGGGTGGGGGGAGGCCTCCCCGCGGCGCGCGGCACTCCCTGGGGCGCCGCGCTGGGGGCGGGGAGGCCTCCCGGGCCGGAGCAAGGGGAGCGGGTGAATGAACTCATCACAGAGGGGTCGGCGAGCGGCGGGCGAGACGACCGGCCGCTCCAGAGGGCAGCAGCATGGTCCGGGGTCACAGGCCGGACTCTGGCCAGAGCGGCTCATCAGCGAATAGTGGTTATAGACGGGGTGTATAAAGGGAATGTCACGTACTGTGGCTGGAGAGCTGCGGAAGACTGGGCCTTTTAGATCAGTCGTCTCGGAACAAGGTATTGGAGCTCCTGTATCGCCGAGATGAATAATATAGCGACAAAAGTCCTTCCTGAAAGACGCAAACATGTCAGGTTTCCTTCCTTGCAAACATGGAAACGAAACAGACATGAAATACCTCTTACACCCTACGCCTCTTAGTCGCCTCAGACAGCACAGGAACATAGGAGCACCGACCGCGCGCCTCACAGAAACACTTGTGGATATCTGCTCGTTCCATGCAAGACTGAATTAGTTCACCGTCTGTACGACCTAAGGACACCATCACTAAATTATTCAAAAGTGTCACGAGAGGACAGCTAGGAGAAGAGGCCTAGAAGGCGGCCAGCCTATACCAGAGACGGCCAAAGAACAGAGGGGCGCTAAGAGTGACCCGTCTAGGGGATGGACACTCTCCAGTAGACAGGGACTATCCAAACATGGCCGAAACTGGAGCAAGAATATACATTATGCATCACACCACAATACTATGCATGTTACATGATTTATAAAAGCCCGACATCGGGTAAAAGCGCGTTCTAAGCGTATTCAATTGATAACCTGTGGTTTGTTTATTCAATTAGTAGCGGGTTCTGTACAGATTTAGAAGGGGACGGGGTTATATACATATTTACAATCTCTAAGACGCGTGGTCGGTGCTCTCAGTTCCCATGAAGTGCTGATAAATCATCATCGGCGACCTTGTTCAACAACATCAAAATGAAGACATCGAATAAATTATTCGTAATATGAAGTGTTTCCTGTGGTTTAGTGTTTTTTAACGGCTACTTTACCCTCACCAAACGTGACTCAAAACAAAAATACCGAGAATTTACCTCAAATAAGCCCATGGTGATCTTCCACTCTACCTGCGGAATAGAAACCGGAGTCAATCGAACGAAGAATAACTGAACAACTTTGAAGAGAGTGCGCAACGTCAGATAACAAGCATCTCATTGGTCCTATTCTAGGCGGTCGGCCCACGGAGCCACGAAGGCCCCGCAGACAGACCCAAGACTAGATCAGTTAGGTAACTGTGTTGCGTCTTTGAACATCGCTCGGTGCTCTGGGGTTCGCTTACAGAAGAAAAGTCAGATAAAGGGCCGAAAAATCTAACGAGCCAGCTTTAGAATCTGGGCAGATTTAGCGTTTCTGCAAGCGAATCCAGTAGCGATCACAGAATACGGTTACTCCTACTGGGGAGTCTGTACAAGGCTGGTGTCGAGCTGGTCCCTTAGGAAACTGTCTGATGCCGATCTATGCACCTCAGGGGAACCCAGGGCACATTGGGCGGGAATCAGACTGCCTCGCCATGCTCAACAGAGCCTATTATCACTTCTAGGCATCAGTGCAAACATAACAAAGTATACAAACAAAGGTAAGACACTTAAGGATCGGTCAACAAACCTAGCCATGACTGAACGTAAGCCATTTTAGCGGTAAAACAGCTACAAACCAAGTCCTGGCGAGATCCGTGGACAGATCTACACAATTAAACGACGACAATTTGACTAGAACGGTGTTGGACCAATGTCACCGCCGTCGAAACAGCGCGTGTTCCCTTTGACATCACGCATAAATGTATGAAACGGGTAACGTAATATAGCACCCTAATACCTGCCATGCTGGTAGACAAAAGCAGGAAGGAAGTTTCAGATGCAGCATCGCTTCAAGATCAGATGTTTGTGGCGCTGCAAATTCTCAACCAGGGTCACCTTCCCGGCGGACCAGCACCCTGAAAAAACAGAAACAGCGATTTGCTATTATCGAGCAGGGAACAGGATAACTATCCGCGCTTGCTGGATTCAGCCCTAAAGAAAATATGAACCGAGTGATGAATTTTAAATGGATTGCTAATGAATGAAATTCAATTGAAATACAGTTTCGTTTTGGCTCCGGCTACATAGAGGTAAAGAATTTTTACGGAAATTGCAAAATGAACACAATTCCAAATGAGACAGTAATCACGTGTAATTGTTACAATTCTCTCGCAAGACGACTCATATCTTACCTCAATAAAGAATATCCGCCGCCCGCACGATCCATCGCGCATAGCCGCACCACCACCAGCGCACCGCGCGGATCTCGATCGTTTGATTCTTACCGCCGACGACCTCTCCCAGGTCAGCGCCTGAGGGTGCCTCGGGCGCAGAGTCACGTGACCGTCCGGCAGGGGCGGATTCAGGCGGCGGTGAGGGGAGGGTTAGTGACACAGACAGGGACGGGCTGAGGCTCGGCAGAGGGAGGGTTAGTAACATCGGTAGTAAATCTTCGAAAGACAGGGAGGGGAGAGAGAACTAGACATAGAAAGATGGAGAGAAAGGCAGAGAGAGAGAGAGAGAGAGAGAGAGAGAGAGAGAGAGAGAGAGAGAGAGAGAGAGAGAGAGAGAGAGAGAGAGGTGGGAGGGAGAAAGGACGGAAAGAATAGACTTACCTTCCGGAGTGTTCACTCCCAGCAATAGCAGCGAAAAGCCATGCAGCAGAAACTAAGAAGTCATATCCGGTGACGTGAACTACCTGGATTTTTAGGTAGATAACCATAGGTACTTGAAATTGAAACGATACTTTAAACTGATTGGTGAATGACTCGTGATCATCACGACGCATTAATGATGCTCTCCCAAGCCGCCAACACATTATATATTAAGGCGAGACGTTTAAAATATTTTTCTACCTACGAGCGGTTTAATAATGTTATCCCGTACCGCCGATATCTTTTGTGCGCCTTAAGGTAAAAAATACATTTTATATACAAAAATACGACATATTTCAGGCTAGACGAAGTGTCTAATAGACGTTTAACAGTTTGTTAATCGTCTAGACGTTTAACAAATCAGTTAATCGACATTTGATAATTTTCTCTCTTCGCACGTGAATCAATTGTAAACACTGTAAGGTGCGGGATAATACGGTTTTATCCCGGCCGCGGCATTTTGACTAGCCTGCGTCCTTAGTTTGCCCCGGCTGGGTGTTCGTGGTCGCGTCGGCAGCCCATAGTGTCGTGGCATGTGACTGGCGGCGTAGGCTGGACCGAGCGTCCTATTGGCTGTCACGACGATGAAATAAAAGTTGTGTGTCTCGGCATAAGATAAGAACCATGGTCATGAACCATGCAATTATAGATCATATAATCGTTTCTCATCACCGTTGTTCGGTCTTAATTTCCGCTGTGTTGTAAACAGTTACGTGGTCAACTCGCCAGGAAATCTTCCTTTCACTTACCTTATTTGTTCTGCATGCTTAACTGTGATATTATAAGGCTGTGATTCATACTCCCGACGAACCTGTTCTGATAACGTTAATAGGAAATCAGTTTGAGTAATGTCATCTAAATCTTTAGCATAATTTGATACCTATACAGAAGAACGGCTTTTATATGCACATATTTTCTGTGGAAGGACGGTAATGTTTTACTTCTTACAAAAGCCTCGGAATAATTTTTGAACAGTTTGTGATGCCCGCCAGTGCCAAATCTTGTTAAAAGTTTAGCAGTATCAAATAAATTAGTCCTTCAATTAGCATACAAAATAAAACACTCAGCAGTTATTTCCCCGTTAACTTTCATCTCTACCGCCCTGCCGCGCGGCTCGGCTACCGCGACTCCGTCCGACACCTGCCGGGTAGACTGTGCCGGCGGACACGCGTGGCGGCCGCTGATTGGCTGAGCGCCGGGGCGACGCCCGAGGCGCTGGGTCAGCGTGTGCGCCTGTCTGGGGGCGCGGCGGTCCAGTTTTAGACGGGCCTTTCTGTGTTGTGCGGCCGCGGGACGGAAAACCGGAGGAGGGAGCCGTAGCGGCGTTATGAAGAGGTGAGATAATTGGCTACATACGTGTCGTTGTGCATGCTTGTTGTTTGTTAATAATGTTTTCTATCTGAAGCATCTTTTTTCTGATTTTTTTCTATTGATTTTATTATGGTGATAGCCTCTTGGAGCGTACCTTCCATGACCGATGCGGTTAGCGCTGCCTTGCAATTTCTTGCCGGAAGTTGAACGCATTTTTATTGTTTTTATTCCGTCAATTTTTTTACTCGTTTAAATGATTCAATGAAGAGTAAAAAATTATGATTTCATGTCATTCAGGTCATAGCATTTAATTCATCGTGAATACCTAAAATCAATAAAGCATAGTTGCTGCTCGTTGATTTATGGAATTGCTTGTTTTTTAAGTTGTTTCGAAAAAAAACATATTAGCAAATATCAAAATGCTGGATTAAACCATTAAATCGATTAATACAAAATCGAAATCAAGGATTGGCTGAATTTATTGAATTATGAATAGCAATGATACATACCTATGCAATATTTCTTTTTATATTATTTGCTACACGTTTCTTCTGCCTTGCGTGCATAATTCATAACCGCGTCACCCATTTCCAGCCGACCCAGCGCCGCCATGTGCGCGTCTCCAGTGCTTCTAGCCGCTCTGCTGACCGTCAGCTCTGCGGTGCCGGTCAAACAGAACCCCCAGCCGAGCACCGGGATGGGTCAGTTCGGTCCGCCCCGGGAGCAGCACGCGGCGCCGGCTGCTGGTCCAGGTACGGAAAGGGGAAGGGGGAGCTGCTGTGGTGGGTAGCATAAATCGGAGCCAGCCGAAACATGGCCTGGTTACAGGTTGACAGTTTGATATTTGGGAAGTTTTAACGAATCAAGGTAATAAATATTAATTTGCAAGGCTAATAATTGAAACAAGCGTTAATTTTATTTGATTTTTTGATTTTGTTGTATTTTTGCTATTTTCATTTTTTTTTGTTTATTGTGTTTTTCTAGTCATTTTGTTGCTGGTTAGCTTATCGTAATCAGCAAACGTAATTCACGGTCGCTTGCTAGGTTAATTTGTTGGTCATTAAAATCTGTTCTCGAAATTTATTTCTAGCTCTCTTAGATTGCTTTCACTGTTTTTCATTGTTGCCTGTGCAGCTGACAGCCTCAGCTCCCTCCCCTTTGTTTCCAGTGCACGGCGCCCAGCGCCTCAAAGCCTCGTCAGGGGACGCCTCAGTGTCTGACCGGGACTCGGCGCCACCCCTGCCGCTGTGCCCCGAGGGCAGCCGATGTGTGCCCTCGGCACTCTGCTCATCTGGTAAGTGACTGGAGTGAAATGTTCCTTCGTAATATTTTATATTATAGGGCTTAGACTTCGAAGCTTCTCATCGGCCTTTAACTGGGAAACTTGCATTTCGCACTGATCTCTCAATTCGCTCTTTTTCATTTGTTTTTTATTAGTGGGAATGTCAGATTTTATAGTTATACTTACGTTTCAGATTTTAGTCTTATTTTATTGCAACGTGAGTGGATAGGAAGTGTAGCGTTCTTACATTGTCTTATAAAATTGCCGCAAATGTGGTTGGCAAAACGGACTTTTTATCGGCGTGCTTATTGTTTTTTTCAGTGGACATCATAACATACGAACAGCCAAATGAGGTGTATCACCCGACATCACAATACGACCGACAAACGTTCACACCGGTTAGTAGATCGTTTGTTTCCTTTGCCCTTTGCTGTTTTGATATTTTGAAGTGACTGTTATAAACAACAATAAAATAAACCAATAAATGGTTTAGTAATAGTTTGCGATCGATGTTGCCGTTTCCCTCCCTCGTAGATGCTCAGACTCACCCACTGACTCTTTTCTTCTCTTCCTTCTCTCCGGCAGCGGTTCACCTGTGGCCAGTCCAACTCGGACCACGTCTGCTGCCGAGAGGACGGCGTCCTCTCCTTCAGCGCCTCCTCCGGAAACCCTTTCGGCTTCCCCTCCGACCTGGGAACCGGCGGCTTCCACCACCGCGACAACAACCTCACACCGGGCGTCGCGCTGAGACCCGGTGCCGCAACGGGTTCGGCGTCTGGCTCCAGTGCTGGACAGAGCTCTGGGTCTGTGACTGGGGCTGGATCCCAGCAAGGATCGAACTTTGGATCGGAATCGTCCGGCTTCGCCTCTGGATCTGGCTCCGGGTCATCCAGCTTTGGGTCCGGCTCAGGAGCAGACTCATCCGGCTTTGGCTATGAGTCTAATACAGGATCAACAGACTCTGGATCAAATTTTGGCTCGGGACCTGACTCAAGTTTCGGCTCTGCATCTGGATCAAGCTTCGGCTCTGGCTCGGGCTCAAGTTTCAGCTCTGGCTCTGGCTCAAGTTTCGGTTCTGGATCAAGTTTCAGCTCTGACTCTGGCTCAAGTTTCGACTCTGAATCGGGCTCAAGTTTCGACTCTGAATCGGGCTCTAGCTCGAGTTTTGGTCCAGGATCTGAAGTGACTTATTCATCGGTCTCAAGCACTGGGCAGAGCTCACAAGCAACTGGCGGTGGCTCTGGATCAGGAGTACGCGAGGTTTACCCACAGTCCTCCTTCTCTGTTTCTGGACTGCCTGGCAGCTTTGATAGCGCATCGACAAACGACGGAGGTTTCAGCGGTGGACCATCGAGCTCTGGCTTCTTCAGGCAAGATGGTTTCGACGTGCGACCAGGAGGCCCACGAGGTCCAAGCTTCGGCCACTTCCCTCCTGGTATGCCGCCAATGGGACTTCCGATGCCCCACCCGGGGATGGGTATGCCTCCTCACGGACCTGGCATGTTCCCTCCCAACGCTCCTGGCTTCCCCACGAGTCACTCTGGATTTCCTTTAAACGCTCCGAACGTCCCCTCTGGCTCCAGCTTTTCCTCTGGATTCGATGGAAGCTCTAGCTTATTCTCCCCGGACGACTCTGGAAGTTCTGCACCTGCACGTCGCCGCCTTCAACAGGTGCTAATCCGGGGCCAGCGTTACGTCGTACCCGAGTTCAGCTCCGTTCTGGAACTGGACGGAGGCGCTGAGGCTTTCGTCACACACGAAACAACACTAGTCAGCATGGAAGTGAGACCGGCACCCGGGTTCGCCGCCACTGGAAGGTCGCAGACTGTCCTGGTCGATGGAAGACCTCACGTGACGGGGGAGTTTGTCTACGTTTCCGATCCAAGCAAAGGAGGGATCATTTTCACCACGGACGGTGTCCCGAGGGAGGTGAGAAATGTCGAGCTTGCTTCTTGTATTTTAGCATTCATGTCTTTGTACTTATTACAAACAGGCTTACACCAAGTCCGGTTTGTGAAAGATTTGATGCTTTTTTTTCCTTTTACGTCGGATGGTAGCTTACTTTTCAAGAGAAATCTGAATGCAAACACTAGTAATGAACATGTATTCAACGAATTTAATTATTCGACGTTGTATTTAATATGAATGGCGTATAAGACATTCCAGTGATCTGCCCCCATTTTCCAGTATCAAATCGTCGGCGGGGAGACACCTGGAGAAGTGGAGCCTTTCGTCCCCCAAACGGAGCTGGTGATGCTGGCAGCCGACATCCTGCGCCAACTCCAGTAAGCCGAATCACTCAGTGATGCATAATCTGGATATATTCTTGATTTATTGCTTATGTTTGCCAATCAAATGTGGAAAGAAATCCCGTCTATCTACTAATGTGTTTGATTGCTGTTTGATAAAATTCGTCCCTGTTTTGGTAATTGATTTCTAACTCCTGTCTTTTCTCGTTTCCAGAGGAGCAACTACACATCAGGATACCGACACGCAGAGCAGCTCATCCTTCCACCCGCCGCCCGCTACCCCTTCCACGACCTTCGGGCCACCCAAACCGTCATCCCAATCCAGCAGCTCGGGTTCCTTCAGAGGACAATCTAGCTCCTCTGGACAGCCCAGCGCTTTTGGACAGTCTAGCTCCTCTGGGCAGTCCAGCTCTTCTGGACAGTCCGGCTCTTTTGGGCAGTCCAGTTCCTTTGGACAGTCTGGTGGTTCCTCGAGTGGACAGTCTGGTGGCTCCTTTGCTGGACAACAGAGCTCATTCGGTGGACAGTCCGGGTCCTTTAGTGGACAGCCTGGTGGCTCCTTTGCTGGACAACCGAGCTCATTCGGTGGACAGTCCGGGTCCTTCGGTGGACAGTTCGGGTCCTTCGGTGGACAGTCTGGTTCCTTTGGTGGACAGCCTGGGTCCTTTGGTGGACAGCCTGGGTCCTTTGGTGGACAGCCTGGGTCCTTCGGTGGACAGCCTGGGTCCTTCGGCGGACAGCCTGGGTCCTTCGGTGGACAGTCTTCCTTTGGCGGGCAGCCTGGTGGCTCCTTTGCCGGACAATCCGGCTCCTTTGGAGGGCAGCCCGGGACATTCGACAGTCAGCATGGCGGCTTTTCAGATAGCTTTTCAGGAGGTGGAAGCTCCTTCTCCGATCCCGATACTTACACCTTCCACGAGGGCGAGTCGTCTCACGGAGGCCATCTCGGAGGGGTCGGACCCGCGCCGGGTCACGGGAAGCCTCACGGTCAAGGTCACGGCTTCGGTCACGGGGGTCCATCGTCGAGCTACGGACCGCCCGGACCCTACGGGCACGGTCCTCACGGGCCGCCGTTCCCGCCCCATCGGCACCCTCACGGACCTCCGTATGGGGTCGGTCACGGCCATCTCAGGCCGCTGCTGCCGCCGCCGCCGCCGATCCTGCCCAGGCCGCCTCTGGTGCCGCCGCCCACGTGAGTAAAAAGCCGAAATTGGCTAAAATAAATTTCCGTGGATCTTATTGTCCCATGCTCCATATATTAAATGATAGTTGAATGAGCTTTGGAACGTCTCATTTTGGTTCCAGTTCGTTTGTGCGAGTTGCATGCTCGGAGGGCGGAAGTCAGTAACTTTTTGTGGTTTCTGGGACGCGTTTTTATGACATTGAGATAGGCGAATTGATTGAACGAAAATGGCGAAAGGTAGTCAGAAACGTATTACATATATGAATCTTTGAATGTCAATGGTTGGGCTATAAACATGATTTCTCTGACGTAACACTCTTACCTACCGCCTCCAGCCTGTTTCCGGCACAAACTGAGACCTGCGGTGTGCGGGGCCAGCTGTCCGACATCTACTCGTCAGTGTTCGGATCGTTTGCCGCGCGGATCTCGTCCGGGTTTGGACTGGAACCCGGTGTCGCCGACTATGCCTCCCACCCGTGGCACGTGAGTTGGGCGTGCCGGAATGCGATGTCCAATGTCCATTGTCCATCCTTGACGCGGAAATGTTATAAAGTTTTTTTTCGTAATGCTTTTTTATCTTGATGCTGCAGGCGTTAGAGGAAACGTTCTCTTGCCTCTTTATACGTCACTTAAAAATGATAGCTGCTAGTGGCTTTCAGTGATGAGAAAGTTTTTTTTTATACTTTTTCTACCGATACACCTTATTTCGTCTTGTGCTTCGACACAAAGTACTGAGTCCACTCAACATGCTTATGTATATGCTTGTCTGTCCCTAGTTGAAGTATATTTTGGATAATGCATGAAATATCCGGTTTACCATTTGTTACTAAGCATATACGAATAAGTAGCGAGATGCTATGCAAGCTTCTGCTTTAGATACCCTCCCGTCTTTTTCAGGCTGCAATTTTACGTCGGACGGCCCCGCACGATCCCCGTGGGGCGCGGCTCGGCGGACTCGAGTACCTCTGTGGGGCCACGCTGGTCTCCGAGGACGTACTCGTCACCGCCGCTCACTGCGTACAAGGTGCGGATCAGTGGTGTTTGTGTGCTCTCGGTATGGTGTTTGTGCGTTACCCAGTCGGGTGTGTTTACTGCAAGTCGGTCGTGTTTGTGTGCTACCAGCAGTTCGTGCCCCAAGTCAACGCAGTCTGCTTCATAGACGGTTATCGCTACCCTAGTTTCCTATGTAATGGGCTACGACTTAGATCCACTTCACGCTTTATTTTTTTTAACCGCATTCGCATAGCGCTTGCAAAATTCGCGTTGTCCATTTTGCAACTTGTATGTCTTCCTTCCTTGACGCGCTTTGTTTTCGTTTCAGCCGAAGACGAAAGGGAGCTTATTGTTAGGCTCGGGGAATATAACCTGTACTCGGAAAAAGAGGAACTGTACGGACCTTACGATGCGCGAGTGCGGGCCATACACGTTCATCCCGGTACGTCGCTAGTCGTTCACTTACATCTGTAAAACATGTTTTAGTGGACGTCGGCATTTTATCGTCGCATTGTTTTATTTGGTGTTCGTTACCACGCTATTTTGCATGCCATAAATTGACAATCCTTTTGGAGAAATCGTCCAACAAGACTTTTATCGAAGACAATTCCGTAAAGAGTAATGAGGATAATTAGCCATTTGTGTTGTCATTCCATAAATCAAAATATTGGGCTGTTGTGTGGAATGTTGGCGACGAAATATCAACCAAAATAATCCCATAATTTAACCCGAAATGTCCCTCTCCCGCAGACTACCTATCGTCCGTGTACCTGGCCGACATTGCGGCACTGCAGCTGACGGCTCCAGTGCCCCTGTCGACCCTGCCGCACGTGGCCACCGCCTGTCTGCCGGGGCCTGACCTCAGCACAGAGCCGGTCACCTGTGAGGCGCCCGGATGGGGCTACGACGCCTACAAGACGCAGGTCAGCAGAAATTCAAACTGCTGAGCTAGTTCAGTGAACATAATGTATATTTTTTTATGTTGTTGTAATGTCTTATTGGGTTATACTTAGTACATCGTGACTGCGGATAAATTCAACTCATTCGTACATTTCATCGAATTCTTTTTCCTTGTAATTAATGTGCATATTCATATTGGCTGCACATTTCATGCATTCGTTCCTTATTGATACTTGGAGCTCAATGCAACGCTGTTTTTACGCACAACTTTATTACATGCCTTGTTCCTCTACGTCATTCTTACAAACTCACCCATTGAAATCCTTGATGCCATCTCTCTAACTAGCTTTACGTGTTTGTCGGCAGCTGGAGAATGCTCCGCACGCGCTGAAGGCGGTCTCCCTGCGGCCCACGGCCTCGGACACGTGCGAGGCCTCACTGCAGAATACACTGCTGGGACCGGGCTTCCGTCTGCAGGAGGGCACCTTCTGTGCCGTCGGGTCACATGGACAGGACACTTGTCTGGTGAGAAGTGGGAAGTGGGAACATTGTCTTGTCAGGAAAGAGGATATTGATAGTCTGATAAAGACCAAGTTATTTCCGACTGGTGCCACTTCTTGCCTGAGGCGCAGGAATATCATATAATGCGGTCCAAGGATCTTTGGTGGGGTCCTGGGATTCTTTGACAGTGCATCAATCTGTTAAGGATAACCAGGACCTCGATAAAACGGCTTGTTGCACTGTGCTTAATTGTTTTTAATGGTGTTTTTCACCTGCTTGACCGATATGGCATACAGGCTCATACGAGCTCATCGTTCAGAAGAGTGTCGTTATCATATTTTTTTCACATTTTATCTAGCATTCGATGGAGCCGCCGGCTGGCTGACCTGGCTGACATCACTGCCGCGTTTCAGGGTGACGGCGGCGGCGGCCTGGTCTGTCCCCGTCCCCCGGCCTCGGCGCGCGACTCTCCCAAATACCAGCTGGTGGGGGTCACCAGCTGGGGGGTGCGCTGCGGGGACAACACACCAGGTACGGAATTAGACGGGCGGATGAACGTGATATGACTGCCGACATTTTCAGTGACTTAGAGATGTTGGGAGATATATCTTTTGGTTAATTCCCGCATCGCTGAATTGGCTGACAAAAAGATCATTTAAAACGTTTGCTTAACCCATCGTAGCATATCCATTGTGGTTATAATCAGTTGGTGATTCCATAATATCGAGGAGAACATGGATAAATTATATAAAAAACAGGAATAACTTATCGGTCAATTTTCTTGCCCGTGCTGAGAATGACATATCATTTGATCATAAACGGCGACGTTGCTCTGTTAACTAATGTTTCCTTTCACAGGCGTTTACACCAACGTGGCTGCGTACCGGGCGTGGCTGGAGACGATCATAGACAGCTCGCACCACCCGGGTCCCTTCCCCATTCCCGTACCCTTTTTCTGAGGTCCAACGCGCTGGACCAGTGTTATATGCAGCTGTGACATGTCTGTTGTATGACTGGATGAACTTATGTGTATTGTGCTGGTCCAACAGCGTGTCTTTCATGGAATAAAGGGATACCGGGGAAATTTGTGTGTGAGATTAGGGTCCTCTGACGACGAAAAATGGTAAGTGTCCAGCTTCAGCAAGCAGGCTGGTGTTTTTGGGATTACGACGCTGCTTGACTTGCTTTTTAAAATCCATACTCGAAAATTTGTTAACACTCGAGTACCCTAAGCTTGTCATTTAATGATATCGATGTTCTTTAATGTGCTTCATTTCACTTGCTAAGCGAGCCTAAAGAGGCGTAAAGGACAGCAGTTATATTCGGCTCACTGACATGGTCATGTTTTTCCAGGTCACCGACTCAGTTACCAACTATATTTGATGCGCTTGCTGAAACTTCGAAGAAAGCTAACTTGCGTAGTGCGATGGAGCTTCAGCTGGTAGACGTTTCAGGTACGTTATGAAGTATCAGTTATCGTGGTTTATTTGAGATGATTGTCCCAGTTGAATTTTTTGTCCGTTTCTCGCCGATGATGACTTATCAGCACCTTATGGGATCTGAGAGCATCGACCGCATGGCTTACGGACTGTAAATATGTACAAAACCCAGTCTCTTATTGGTCGTGTACAAACCCAGCCTCTGCTTAAATCAGCATGTGCCGCAGTTATCAATCGAATACGCCCAGAACGCAGTAAGGTTTTACGCCAGGCGTTGGGCTTTTGTAGATGTAAATAGCGTAGAACCCCGTCTCCTGTGTACAGACCCCGCTACTAACTGAATAAACAGACCACAGGTTATCAATCGAATACGCTTAGAATGCACTCAGGGATTTTAACAGGGCGTCAGCCTTTTAGTAACTGTAAATATGTAACTTATACTATGTATATAGCTGTCTAACGTATCGTACAATTCATAATCCATATTCTTCTTGCTCCAGTTTCGGCTATGTTTGGATTGTCCCCGTCTAGTGGAGAGGATCCAGCCCCTAGACGGGTCACTCTTAACGCCCCTCTGGTCTTTGGCCAGTCTCTGGTATAGACTGGCCGCCTTCTAGGCCTCTTCTTCTAGCTGTCCTCTCGTGACCTTTTGAATAATTTAGTGATGGTGACATGTCCGCCGCACATTGAACGAGCGCAAATTAGTTTGTTTGTTTGTGTGTTTGTGTTTCGCACGTTTGTTAGACGCGCGGTCGGTGCTCCCGTGTTCCCATGCTGTCTGAGGCGACTGAGAGGGATAATGTACGGGCTTTGAGCTCTCAAGGCGGCTAAGGAAACATTGATATGAGCTTCCTCTTCGTTTCAGATTTCATCGACCAGAGGACGTCTTTAAAAGATAAGTACGAACTATGTTTTTACGACTGGTTGTGTGCAGAATTCGTACATGATGTAACAAATACCGTGAATTGAGCTTAATTACCGACTCACCAGTAATGAGGTTTGCTCATCCGTGTGAACTCCGTGTATTCCGTGAGCCGCTTCCAGTGTTCGCCAGAGTTTGAGTGTGTTGTGTAGTTCCTTTAGCTATTAACAATGACGCTAACTCCGTTTATCCTTCCTACAGGGTCTCTGAGAGGGCTATGCGTTGAGTTCGAAGCTCTCTGAGCCACGGTACGTGACCCGCCCTCTACACACCCCGTCCTTTAACCATTATTCGCTGATGAGCCGCTCTGACCAGAGTCCGGCCTGTGACCCCGAACCATGCTGCTGTCCTCTGGAGCGGCCGGTCGTCTCGCCCGCCGCTCGCCGACCCCTCTGTGATGAAGTCATTCACCCGCTCCCCTTGCTCCGGCCTGGGAGGCCTCCCCGCCCCCAGCGCGGCGCCCCAGGGAGTGCCGCGCGCCGCGGGAAGGCCTCCCCCCACCCGAAATTCACCTGTTGCCATAGTACATCTGTCACGCACCCCTAGCGGGGTCGTGGATGACCGGTTCAATAGTCGTGATAGTGTGAGAGTTGTCCTCCGGAATGTTTGTTGTTCATTGTTTCGAGTGCGTGGTCAAATCTTAGAATGCCTGTGGAATGAGTGCGATTCGATACAGTCATCTCCTTGCGGCTGGTGGCGGGTAGTAGCGCCGCGGGGCGGTGGCGGACCACATTCCCGCCTCCCCCTCTGTGTCCCGCTGTCCCAATTACCCCACCCCGCCCGGTCCCCGGCCCTGTCCCGCTCCGTCCGTCGGCTGTGCGCCCGTCCCGCCCCCGGCACACTCTCACCGTCTGTACCGCCACCAGTCGGGCCGGCCACCTGCCCGGCCTCTCCGATCTTGCTATCCGACCAGCTGCCAGACGGCGGTCCCTGACAGAGCCAGTCAGTCATTACATGGAACGTAAACGTGATATAATCTGTGATATAGTCTCTAGTCAAAAGTACTAGTCCTGTCGGCGAGACGCGGGTGCGGCGAAAAGTGCTACAGAGTCTGAACAAATTTTCATGTTCGGTACTTGAGGCACAATTCTTTACGTGGAACTGATCAATGGATGGTGTCTTTCAGAAACGATGCAGAAGAAAACAGATATGCTATCGTCTGTTCTACCGTGGACCGACCTTGCTGGAAGTGCCACACTTCAACAAGAACGCGGCATAGCTCAATGAAGTAGGAACAGTCTTGCACTTATTGTGCGAGTTTTCCACTCTGCTGTTGCCTGGACGCTCTGGTGTGTCATTATGCGAGTGAGTTGTAAAGCGGTGTTTTGTGCATTTTTTGTGTTTTGACTAGCTCTACAGCAGTTCACTGACACACTGGTACCAAAGGAGGGTGGCTCGTACTTTTCAAATATACCTGCCGTGTGTCAGCTGATGTTATGTGCTGTTCAGCGTCTTGTGTTATTTCGTTCATTCTCATATTGATGGAAATGCACTGGCAATAATAAGCGCCAAATTGTGGTTCACTAATAAATGTTGAATGTGGTTATTGTTTTTGTCCCATATTTTGAAGTTGAACGTCAAAAGGGAAAGTGAAGATGGCCTGACTGACACTAAGGAATTTTGGCCAAGATTTTGTCGTGGGAAGTCATGCCATTTTTGGGCACGAACGCACGTGATCAGAGATTTGCTACATAGCAAGTCGGCATCCTGATCCACTTGTGATATATACCGACGTAACAATATGCAAACACGAGACGTTTCAGCGTAATTCATTTGAAAAAATCGCTCAATCAGCCTAATCCCATCTTTTCCAACGTAGTAAATCGGCTTCATCTTGGGTGACATATACCAACGTAACAATATGTCGACATAAGACCTCATTACATCTCAATTGATGAAAACTTGCACGTTACCAGCATTATCCCAGCTACTCTGATCTTATAAACTTAACTCGGTTCCCCGCCCTACCAGGTTTAGCTAGGGACTATTTATGTACCACATGGAACGCCGATTAAACTTTTCCCGCTTTTCCCAAAATATTCCTTTTATGTACCTGCCGATAAGCACATAAGGACTCGTCTTAAATATTCAACAACCAAAAATACTATCTCCGTAAAACACAACCAGACAAATGTATTGAGGCAAGGAAGCCCGAAACTGGAAAGTATCTGTCTCCGCTTTCTCATGTAGGTATGCAAAAGATACATGAAACCTTACACTTAAAATACGCCTAAATTTACACGTGGAATGCCTTCATCCTCGCACGACATCATTCGGTTCCGTTTGGAGAGGGGCTCGAGTACGAAGGGTGTCGCGGCCCCTCGGCCCTTCTCGTTGTCACAGAGCAGGCGCGCCAGACTGGCCTTGCGCACTTCCCGCAGCTGTTCTCCACTCAGGCTGCGCTCGTAGAAGAGCCGGTCGCCGTCCCGCAGCCGCCGGAACTGGTCGGCGATCACGCACTGGAAGGTGGGACCCACCCTGGCCGAGGGCGCACGACGCTCCAGCATGCCGCCCACCCAGAGGTCAATGTCGTCGGGGCTGGAGTAGATGGCACGAAGTTCCTCCAGCTGACGTCGCTCGAAGACAGTCTCCAGATCTGTCCAGCCGGCCACCGATTGTCCGGAGCAGAGCTGACGGACGGTGGTATAGGACGGCAGACCCAGGTCCCTGCCGCGCAGCACCTCCACGGCGGCCAGCTCGAGTGTCGGTGAATGTCTTACAGCAGGGGTACTAACGCTGGTGGTGGTAGTTCTCCTCAGAATGTCAAGGAAAGAACATGTAGATTGTGCCAACTCCTTCCTTTTATCCGGACTTTCTTTCTTTGGGCGCTGCCAAAACCTAAAAGCGGCAGCTGCGAACTCGACGCTCACGGTGGGATCGGCATCACTATCCTCCGGAGCGAGTATGATGGCCCTTGCGGCGTCGGCTCCCAATACGTGCGGCAGGTACTCTCTGTAGGTGATGTGCTGCCACTGAGCGATCACCACGCGGCGTGCCGTCTGGAACAGCCGCTCGTCCTCCCAGAGAGGGTGGTTACGACGCAGCACTTCCACAACGCGGTTGTGCTCCCGCAAAAGCAAACATTGGACGTCGTTCTGGCACGTCTTACGTGGTTCTTCGCGATCAAACAACACTCGCCCGCCGCGGATTCCCTTGTGATGAATCTTCTTCGTAACCATGAGCCTGAGGAGATCCTTCAGAGAAAGCTTTGGCACCAACATTCGGACAGGACCGGGAAGTCCCGGTAGACCTGGAGGACCTTGACCTCCTCTTGGTCCAGGTAGACCTCTCCGACCGCTCCACCCACGCGCCCCTGTGTCGCCCTTTACTCCACGAGGGCCGATAGGTCCCCGCGCACCAGGTGGACCCATCTCGCCCTTCTCGCCCGGCGCTCCTGGAGGCCCAGGATCACCTGGTCCTCCAGGCCGTCCAGGCCCTCCAGGTCTCCCAGGACCACCGTCCACCCCAGGGGCACCATCAGCTCCAGGGTCACCTTTAGGCCCAGGATCACCGGAGTCGCCCTTTTGTCCGGGACCGCCACCCGGTCCGTCTGGACCCCGAGGGCCCCGTTCTCCTTTAGGTCCCATGGGACCTTGATCTCCCTTGGAACCGGGATCACCACGGTCACCCTTTCCGGGCGGTCCCTTTGGACCAATGGGTCCACGTTCACCCTTTGGTCCCGCCGGACCCTGCCCACCCTTTTCTCCTCGATCGCCTTTTTGACCAGTAGGTCCTTGGTCGCCCTTTACTGAGGGGCCAGGCAGTCCAGTGTCGCCCTTCTGTCCATCAGGGCCGGTGGGGCCGACCTCTCCCTTAGCTCCTTGCTCACCTTTCGGGCCGGCTTCACCGCGATCCCCCTTGATTGAATTTCCCTGTGGACCGGTGTCGCCCTTAGGACCCAGAGGACCTCTCTCGCCTTTACCACCCTTTGGACCTCGTTCTCCTTTGGAACCAGGAGCACCACGCTCACCCTTTGAGGATTGTCCTTTTGGGCCCATGGGTCCACGGTCACCTTTTGGTCCATCGGGACCCGTCTCGCCCTTAACTCCCTGCTCGCCTTTCTGACCAATGGGTCCACGTTCACCCTTTGGTCCCGCCGGACCCTGCCCACCCTTTTCTCCTCGATCGCCTTTTTGACCAGTAGGTCCTTGGTCGCCCTTTACTGAGGGGCCAGGCAGTCCAGTGTCGCCCTTCTGTCCATCAGGGCCGGTGGGGCCGACCTCTCCCTTAGCTCCTTGCTCACCTTTCGGGCCAGCTTCACCGCGATCCCCCTTGATTGAATTTCCCTGTGGACCGGTGTCGCCCTTAGGACCCAGAGGACCTCTCTCGCCTTTACCACCCTTTGGACCTCGTTCTCCTTTGGAACCAGGAGCACCACGCTCACCCTTTGAGGATTGTCCTTTTGGGCCCATGGGTCCACGGTCACCTTTTGGTCCAGCGGGACCCGTCTCGCCCTTAACTCCCTGCTCGCCTTTCTGACCAATGGGTCCACGTTCACCCTTTGGTCCCGCCGGACCCTGCCCACCCTTTTCTCCTCGATCGCCTTTTTGACCAGTAGGTCCTTGGTCGCCCTTTACTGAGGGGCCAGGCAGTCCAATGTCGCCCTTCTGTCCATCAGGGCCGGTGGGGCCGACCTCTCCCTTAGCTCCTTGCTCACCTTTCGGGCCGGCTTCACCGCGATCCCCCTTGATTGAATTTCCCTGTGGACCGGTGTCGCCCTTAGGACCCAGAGGACCTCTCTCGCCTTTACCACCCTTTGGACCTCGTTCTCCTTTGGAACCAGGAGCACCACGCTCACCCTTTGAGGATTGTCCTTTTGGGCCCATGGGTCCACGGTCACCTTTTGGTCCAGCGGGACCCGTCTCGCCCTTAACTCCCTGCTCGCCTTTCTGACCAGGGGGTCCAGGTTCGCCTTTGACGGAGGGGCCAGGCGGGCCAGTGTCACCCTTCTGTCCATCAGGTCCGATGGGGCCGAGATCTCCCTTAGGCCCCCTGTCGCCACGTCCTCCTTTCTCTCCCGTGCTCCCTTTCTCTCCACGTGCACCCTGGCTACCTTTCCTGCCACGTGCACCCTTTTGACCTTTATAGTGATGGTGGTGGGTATGAGAATGGTGATGCTTGCCGCTATGCCTATCGATAGAGGAGTTACCCAAACTTGACAATTCTTCAGGGATGATTTCGAGGATATCATCTACCGACATTGTCGTATCTTCAGTAACACTGAATAGATCGGACGAATTAACGAGCATTTGTTCCAGGAGAGAGGAGTTCATGGTTTGCTGAGCTAGGGTCTCATTGAAGTCGATCATGGCATCAGTTGTGACTGTACTTCGACGCTGGCGGACTACGTTGGACTCTGGAACGTTAACGCTAGTGAAACCCTCGAATTCCACCACCTGGTCGAGAACATCCTGCTGCGGTTCGAGTTCATCCCTGAGCCGGCCCCCGCTCAGCGTCCTCAGTCGCCTGCCGGCCTCCTCTGAGCTGCCGTACAGCGTCTCCAGGTCCAGGTAGGAGGAGGCGGCAGACAGCGGCGCCGCCGGTCGCATCACACAGTCCAGCTCGGGCGCCGGCAGCGCGCGCACGAAGCTGACGCACCGGTGGGCCACGGTCAGCGGCAGGCAGGCCGGGTGTCTCTCGGAGCAGCAGTCCGGCTCCCTGCCGTCCGGGAGTCGGAACGGCACGATGCGCGCCAGGTCGCGACTCAGCGACTCGGACCAGGCGGCCGCCCAGCCGCTGAGCGGGCTGTCGGAGAGCGCGGCGGCCAGCGGGACAGCGGCCCGCTCCGGAGCGGGCAGCGGCGACCCGGCGGACGAGGAGGAGCGGGGGGAGAAGTAGAGGAGGTCCGCGTAGGTGGCGGCGCTGAGCCGTCCCAGGCCCGTCAGGGACCGGCCCACGTACGGCGCCTGTGGAGGAGAACGATGCTGTCACATGGAGGCTACTTCATACCTAGGTTGTCATGCCATTGAACAAATTTTCAACCATGAATGCCGCAACATTCTCACGACGCACACCGCAACAAATAAGGATATATTGCATTTTTGTGACGATTTATCACGTTTTATGCATACCTACCTATTTTCAGATTTTTGTTTACATCCATTCAACAACAATAATTTAATTCGTCTCACCTCTACATGATTGCACTCCCCGGTGAGGGTGCGTTCGGTGTTGTTCCGATCACACGTCTTGACGACAGCAGGGATACAGCCCGGCACGAGGATCTCTTCCAGCTTCTGATTGCTATCTGGTGATGTCAGTGACCTGGGGGATGTGGGGAACGGAAACTGAGGTTCGCTGACAAACGTGACAAAAAACAGACGTTCATGGTGGCCGCGTTAACATTGCATTTTACTATCTTAACATATTTTGAATATTGGATGGGTCAGCATGAACGAGTTCCAGAGTTCATGACATGACCGTCATGTCCAGACTGTTTTTTAAGTTCTATGCTAATGAAGTAATCAGGATCAAACAAGTAAAAACAAAACTAAAGGTAGTCTTCACTAGTGACTTCCATATTGATATTCGTGAAACCGTGCTATGCGTTGTGCAGTCATGCAGTCATTTTGCTTTACAGTCACATCGTACTTTTATTGTCCCAACTCACAGCGAGGTCTGGTTGCCGACGGCCTGGACGGTGTGGAGCCGCTGCAGGCCGATCCTGCCCACCTCCTGCTGGACGGCCGGGTCGCCGCCGGCGGCCGTCGTCAGCTCGGTCAGGTCGGCCTCCTCAGGGCCGGGCCGGCGCGCCGCCGCCGACAGACGCTCCTCCAGGTCGCTCAGTAGCGCTGAGGCGCTGGCCGACCGCCGGAGAGCCGCCTCGGCCGAGAAGGAGCCCGGAGGAGCCCGCAGCACCCACCGGCCGGACGGGGACAGGGGGCGCAGCGGAGAGGAGGGGTGGTGGACGGCCAGAGGGCGCTCCTCGTCTTCCAGCGATGGGGTGCTCTGGTTATGCATTGTGTTGTTTGTGCTGTTGGTTTTGTTGCTGCTCAGCGCAGTCAGAAGAGATGTGACGAGTAGCTGAAAGCGAATGCAGAGTATGTTAAGGAAATGTCAATGATATGATCTTAAGGTTTACTTGGTACTTGTGTCGTGAGACAAACAATGTCTACTCTAAGCATATTTTTTGCTTTGATGCGCAATTTTGTTTTTGTGTTTGGATAAAAAAAATGGAAATACATAATGTGTTTTTTGTTGTTGTTATAACTGCCAGTGAAATACAACACAATGCCATAATTAACAATTTCCTATGAGCTTCCCGAGGACGGCTTAGAGAGCTTGTTGAACCAGAGAAAAGTGTTTTCGGCTCGAGATGCAAAACGGCCATCTCAAATCCAAAACTGTTGCAAAACTTGAAATATTTGCTTCCCGATATCCTCTAATTCACATTATCTCTTCAAGCACTCCGCGAGTTGTTGGTATCTTTGTCATAAAAACAGTCTAAAAATTTGATCTTTGACCCCACCTGATGACCTTGTCTTTGACCCGCCGAAAAACTTCAACTACTTTACTGTGAAAATTTCAAATGCAACCATGTGCTTCGCACTACGTGACCCAAAAATCGAATTAGCTCATCATAAGTAGTCAGGAAGAAGTTTCAACCTTCTGATTGCAAGGCCATGGTCGAGCACTGATTTCACAAGAAAATAGTTCGTATGCATATACACCTACTTACCAACGCAGTGAGCGCCTTCATTCCGTCTCGTTCCCAGTTGGACGGACTCCTGAAGGTAACACCTTACCCCCACCGCCGATGGGTGGCCACTGGAGTCGCGGCCCGTCACAGAATCTGTCAGCCCATCTGTGCATCTTCGTCCCCTCGGGGACCAGCGGCGAGCGGTATCATCTCGTAGGCAAACGATATATCTATCTACTCCGCTAGTGAGGTAGGGTCTTCAGAGGTCACTGACCCTTTAGGGGAGATGTCACAATGACTGGAGAGTAGAACCTTTGGGGTGAAGTGTGATAGGGGTGTCACTCAACGTCATATTGTTCACGCTAAGTTTAAAAATAAAAGACACACAGACGGCTTTTTATCTTCAAGATTCTTCTCCGCCCTTTCTAAACCATTTGAGCTGGACAACTCTCACTAGCAATTTGGTTTGAAGTGGAGGGAATCCGGGATATTCCCATTGGGATGGATGCTAGCTCGGGTCGTTGGCCAGTCCCGAAACAGAGTTTTCCCCGGTTGTGCACCAACGGTGTCCTCGGGTGAATATATCGAACTTTATTTTATCATTCCACAGCTGAGGCCGTTCCATGACGTTGTCTTATTGGGCTAAAGGGATAGGACCTGGCAAAAAGAAATGCAAAAACTTGCAGCTTTGGTTTGAGCTCGTTAACCCGCGCCCCACTGGGGGGGGGGGCTATTTATAGCCCCCCCCCCTCCCGTTTTTCTGCAATAACTTCCAAACCGCTTGACGAATCGACGCCAAACTTTCAGTACCTTCGGCTGCATCAATTTGACACCTTGTGTCAAAATTTGAACTTCGTAGCTACCATAGGTCGGCCGGAAATGACGTCAGAGTGACGTCATGTTCGTCCGATTTCGACGCAAAACATTGAACCACGGCAATCGCTCCCAAGAGCTCAGTTTTTAAGCTAGATCCAATTTCTTTGCATGAAAGGACTCAGAATTGACCGCGCTATCAAACTGCAATCTCGGATTTTCAAAATTTTGAAAATTTTGAAAATTTTATATAATAATATTCAAAATTTATATTTTTATATTTTTTCAAAAAGTTTTGACTTTTCGAAAAACCGGAATATATGTGACAGAACGCATGATTATGACTAACTCTAGCAAGTTTTAGCTAAATATCTTCAAAAATGGCCAAGTTATACGCATTATTGCAAAAAAATTCACAATTATTAATTTTTCAAATCAATTTTTCAGTACGTATTTGGCATCGTACACCAATATGAATGGCACCATCGTGTTCCTGAGCTCAAACTGCATCCAATAGACACCTTTTTTTGTTGAAAAATTTCAACTTCAAAATTTGACCTTTTTTACCTGAAAGTGACCTGGCCTAAAGTAATTTCGACTCAAAATGACCTTGAATGACACAGACGACATCAAATTCGAAATCTATGGCCTAAATGGACCATAAAACATGTGTCACGTGACCGACCATGATATAATATTTTCGTGACCTGTGATGACCTGACCCTGACCTGAAAATCAAAGTACAAGTTTGGTACCGTCAAGGTATCTAGAGCATCTGTTCACGAGTGTGGAAACCAAAAATGAGCCTGATCTGACTTGTAAGACGGCGGCCAGAGCCCAAAATGTGAACAAGCCAAAGTGCTAATAATTTTTACTTTGACCTGACCTGTGACGTCATCGGTGACCTCGAGGTCAATGAAATTAGGTTTCGCTCGACAGTTTTTCCGGGGCTATCAGACGCCGTTTGAATTTTGATGATCGGCCCAGTAGTTTCGGACTTAGGAGGGGGGGGGGGGCTATGAATAGCCCCCCCCCCCAGTAGGGCGTGTTATACACAGACCCCAGTGGGGCGCGGGTTAAAACCGCATGACACATGTCAAAATAACAACTTTTTGAAGTCGTCGGGTGGAATAAAAAGGGGCTGTTGAAACATACCAGTCATATTTAGTTTTACGTAACACCACAATTTAAATATTGTAACATGTTTCTTTCAATCTTCAGTAAACGCATTTGGCCAGCGCCGGTTCTGAGAAGGATTTGTAAATGTGCTTGTTATGCAAGATGTTTTTTTACCATGCCACTTTTTACGTTTCTCCTTCACCGCACCATGTCGATAAATCAGTGCAAAAAAAGGCTGTGGCTAACCGAAGCCATCTAGTTGATTAGTGGATGAGAGCAGCGCTTATAATTGACGACTGCAACCGAGGATCAGCTTTCAAGCTTCTTATGCAGAGGTACCATGACCTGAATCTGTTTAAGACACCTGTGTACATATATGCTGCCGTATATGTCAAGATGTTTAAAACCCTCTTTTGCTCTGTTTTGACCCGCGAACGTTATGCTTCCAAGTACGCTGAGATTTGTATTCACTATCCAATTTTCCATGTACGTATTTGAACTGTGATAATCTTATGATAGTCGATAGCACGTCGATCTTGTTCAAGTTGCCTATCTTATTAAGGTGCTCAATCATCATTTAATTTTCAAAATATTGCGTTATTACTTCTTTATGTAGCTCAACAGGAAATACGACAATGGGGATAACTGGACGGGAAAATTGGAGCATCTTCCTCTAAACTGGAATAACGAGCGACGCAGTCCCATTCCGCGAATTCAGTTTACCGCGATAGCCCATGTCCTCTGGGTTAATCGGCGTGGGAAACCGTGTCTCTGTTTGTACTATATCAGATGAAAACGACATACACGCTGACGAGCATACATTGGGTGAAATTTTATAGCGCACTGTGGGTCATGGAATGTCCAGATCATAACTCCGAGAGGTGCTGGGAACATTCATATCAAAACCAGAAACGACGGTCACATCTGCAGGATTAGTTGTTGCTCCGATCATAAACAGAAATAAACTGCAACCATTTTGGTATTACAATAAGATTTTACTGTAACCTGTTACATGTTAACATTGTATTTTAGAAGCTTGTTTTAATTCAGCATCTAATGGAGAATATGTTCAAGGTAGAAGGGTTGCACTTCCTCGTCACTTTTTACTTTATCTAAGCATCATCCTACGTAGAAACGCAGTCTGCCATGCTTAGATGGGCCTCGCCGATCGCTTGGCTATAAAGTCGAATTTGAACATGAAAGTTATAACGTGAGTCATACGTGTCTTCTCTGACGTCCATCGCCACTGCCACAGAGCATAGCATTAGCCCCGATAAACGTTTTAGATGGGCCCGATAGTCCCAATGGTCATTACCTATCGATCTACCCACACCACTGCCATGAGAAGGAAGTGGATTAATCAGCTGAAAAACAACCACACCCTCCCTCGGGCGATCCTGACGCAAAGATTATGCGAGGTAAATGTTAGAAGAAACGGTGTGTCAGATAAGCGTCATCAAGCGTGGGTCTGTCAGATGGGTGTCAAATTGTCGGTAGATCGAATTGTCAGAGCACGTGACTCTGCTGTCTGAGTGTCAAGACATCGTCTGACTCAGAAGTGGTGGGTATGAAGTGGTGGGTGGGTACGAAAACGGGCTTGCCCACGGCTTGCCTTCAGACTCAGGGTCAGGTTTGTCCGGAATACCGCCGTCGTGCTCTATCACTGCACAGGCCATCTGTTTTTCATGGATTTAGGAAAGAAGCACGTGTCTAACTAAGTTCTAACCAACTAGAATCTAAACGGGTAAACAGCGGCTGAGCGGCATTCCTGCATCAGTGAGCTTTCATGTTTACTGCTGTCATCCCAAGCTCGGGCATGTTAACAATAAAAATACGCTAATGTCAAAGCTATCGAAAAGCCGATGACCTATAAATGCCAGGGATAAACAGTTGTAATGAGCTACTTCAAAGGATTATCCCCGTCTTGGAGCAAAGTAATGAACCATACTCACGCTGACCTATGTAAAACAAAAGTTTCTTATCTTAAATCTGATCTTTGTTTGCCTTGCCAGAGAGTAAAGCTTTGTAGTGTAATTTGGTATCGTTCGTCGATGAACAAGCTGACTATTTTCCCTTCTTTGCCTTTCGCCACTGATTACGAGCGAGCGAGCGCAGCGAGCGAAGTGAGTCTTTTCAATATAACGGAAAAATCTCAGTATGAGCGGCCCGGCCCGGCCCGGCCCGGCCTGTAACGCTTTTGAAAGGCTTATATCTCAGCAACCGCTGGACCGATTGGCCTGCGGTCTTTTTTGTTGGGTAGCCCCATCCCTTCTACCCCGTAATTGACTACTTTTGATACGTCTCAGTGACCGTCGTGGCACGTGCCACGTGAAAAGTCAAGGGTGTTCAAGCTGTTTTGCAAAAGTAGTGATTTTGAGAGGCTCATATCTCAGCAGCCGCTTGGGCGATTGACTTGCGGTAATTTTTGTA